TACTTAAATTTGCTACTTTTAAATAAGATTTTTGCAAACATATTATACTGTAGTGTATCGGCTATCGTAAATTGTGATGTTAAAGCAAAAGCAAATAAATGATCTGAAAACATTTGCCTAATTTATTAAACTATTACTGGAACTTTTACAATATTAATTGTCTATATTGAGTGCCAATTATACAAATAAGGGGTAAAGACAATTTGAGTAGGTACCAAGTGAAAATATTATGTGTACTCCGAGTCGGAAATAATTACCTCTCTTACGATTTCACAAAAGTTTACAAACGCTATTTGGTTGGAGGGTACAGTACTTAATTGGGAGATCCCATGTCACAGTACTACAATATAATATAAATCTCAAAATCTTATTTGTTTGTTTTATTGGTTTTTCCACACACAACATAAAAAGTGCAGTAAATGCAAACTTAACTAATATTACAAAAAAAGAAAAAAAATCATATAGGCCTACTGTAAATTAGAAATCGAATAAATAAGCATGTGGATGGAGACCAAAATAAGTTTGTACAAACTTTAAGTCATGGGTCAGTGGTTAAAATTAGAATAAAATAAAATTAGATTTGATGACGAACAAATAACTATATATGCAAGCCCACAAGCAGTCTGGTTTAACAATAAATTTAAGTTTAAAGACACACTGCACCAAAATATTTTTTTTTTGACACAGTATAATTATGTTTTGATCTCTTCAGTCCCTTAATTAACAATTAACTAAACATTTCCTACATTTTACAAGTTTTAGAAACAAAATCTAAATGATTTAAAGTGACCTATATCTTTATCATTAAAGTTAATTTAATCTTAAACAAGATTGACATCTCAGAAAAAAAAAATGAATGAGCAAATGAAACGGCTATAAATAAAAACTCTTACGACAACATACATATCATCAGCAGGACTTCTACAAACGTGATGTCACGAACATTATGACTCCACAGCCACTTTACCCAATGCGGTCAACATTAATTGATAGCTGTCCCTGTTGACGTCATCCAGTAATTACGTGGTGAAGGCCTGGCTACAGAAGTAGCAAGGTACATTTCTATGCCTGCCCTCTTAGAATGCTTCAAATACCTCACAACTCTTCAGAAAATACCATCTGTCTATTAGTTAGCATACAGTAACACTACCAGCTAAATTTTAAAAATTCTATTTTATGTAACATTATTAATAATCATTGGATTATTAATCATTCATTTCAACCTACTATATGTGCTTAGTTAGAATGCATACTGTACAAATTGGTTTAAAATATAAAAATATCAAATATTAATAGAGCATCAAATGCACACATTAATAAATATATATGTATACATTCCAAGACAGACACAACTCCTCAATCTCATACATATTCATGACCTACAGCATATACTCACTTTCTCATATTTGTATGCACAAATATTGACTACTAAAATTGTACATCTAGACCACAACCAAATGATGATGACTGGGCCATCTGTGACAGAGATTTCAACTAGATAACCCAACAATATAGGCCTAGGTATCTCAATCCTACACATCCCCTTTGACACATTCACTAATAGCCTATCGGGCCATATATGCAATGCATGTGTATTACTATTGGAGTCAAGGTGGGAAGCAATGTTGGTAGTTACAGTAATTAATTACTGATAATAGCTCATACATCCATCAAGCTCACTCATTATTAAATTAATTAAAAATATTATATTTTAATGAATATTTGAAAATTAATGCTCATACTAAACAAATTCCGTATGAAACTGATATGAACTTCTAACAGTTGCAAAGATGACGCTGCCGTGTCACATCATAATGGATAAAATTACTCACATGTAAACGGTGCCATTCAATAAATTATTGCAGAATTTTTCATTACATAATTCCATGCATGAGTAAGGGATCAGCTCAAAAAGTGAAAGTAATCTACAGACTCTGAAGCATACCAAGCTCTGTGAAATAAGAGCAAGATCCCTCCAAATAGCGCAGCCAATAAAATTAAAGAAATTTGAAACTCTACTGTGAATGTCCTACAGTATATGAAATCTAGGCCTACATTTCTTTCTAGTAATTTTGATTGGCTAATAATAATTTAAGCAGCTAAAGTATAAAACTAAGGTGAAATTGAGAAAAAAAAACATTTTTTAGATATCTCTTTTTCCAGAACATTTTAATTTTCTATTTTGAATTGTATACATCTTCGTATTTTATCCTAATCTGAAATATTTTAATTATATTATTGAATGCTTTTTAATTTTAAACATATTTTACTTAACTTTTTAAATAGTAAGCCTATTGGACACCACATTTGTACAAGCTCTTTTAGCTTTTCATGGTTGTCCATTTGATCTTTTTTATTATATTATGTATTTTATTGCTATTTTAACATTTCTTTGATGAATAAACTGAATTGAATTGAAATATCTGAAGAAATCTAAGAACCCAACTTCTCAAAAGCAATCTGTAGTACTTGCAAATGCCCAATGACTGTTTCAGTTTGTCATTGGTAGTCTTCTTAAATAAAAGGTCATGGAGTCTACAGTAAGCCTCCTCTATTAAAACAGACATGGGTGAGATATTTGGCCAAAGAATAATTAGATTACTGCATTTTATGCATGAACAGGCTTTTTAGGAAATAACCATATTAAATAAAAAACACAATTGATCTGACAACTTTTCACCCTGAAAAGTATTCCTATCTTTTGTGGCTAATTTCCCCATGCAAATTAGGAGATTTTTATAAACAGGACAAAAAAACACCTTACTACAAGTAACCTAAAGGGAGATTTTAAGCAGTTTAGAGCCACAGAAGTCAATTTCAAAATATTCTTATAAATTTATACTAAATATATTGATTAAGGTTATACTTTATATTGAGGGTGGCCAAGTGTTTGCTCATTGATAAAAGCACCATTTATCACTCAGACTGATATATAATAGTTTCACTACAGTAGTTTACGAGTGCTATAATAGTAATAATGTTATAAATCAACAGTATGACTATACAAAGATCTGCGGTTACCAACAAGCGATAGCAACTTATCTATCATACTCTTGGACCTACTCATACATATTTACTATGGTTAGTGATTTTCAAAAATAAATCTAATAAATGTAAAGGCCTAATGGATGTTTATGAGCTCTGCAATGGGATAGAATATTTTCATGAAGCTACAGTAAAAAAAAAAATTCACCATTCACCAAATAACACATATTATGAATGAGAAACATTATTATCTTTGTTAATAGTTTAAGGTGTAAATATAGTCTCAGGGTCAAAAGTTCAACAGCTGTGTGCGACTAACAAACATTTTGTTATTCCTCTCACAATCAGCAAAATTTATCGACTGAAAATCGCACTAAAATTGTACGCCAAAATTAGGGAATTTAACAAACAATTAACAAATATATAGACTTCGGTCTTTAAAACTCTTTCAATCAATGAAACCATCAATTTTATCTCACACAGCCTGAATCAATCAAATGGCAAGATTCTGAGTAGTGTTGTATTAATAAGTGTTGGGTTAATTATCACTCACCTGCATGAGCCTAGTTTGTTATTCCAGCACTAGAAAAACGACACTGTGCTAAAGGTATTTAATTATTAATTTTTGCCCAAATTTTATCAGTTTTGATTATAAACTATGTCTGCCCCTAAATTTCGTACATGCAGCAAATCTTGTCATTCTGTTTTTACAATTGCCCACACTTTGTTCACAATACTACACACTTTTTAGTAAAAAAAAATAACTATTGGCTAACCAATTGTATAAACACTGATGAAACCAGGGTTCAAGGCAAAACAGCACATTATACCACAAAACACTTGTCCTTGATAGTGTGATAGCCTTTGACAAAGACACAGTGCACTAGTGCTGATAGTGGTACGGGACAACCTATTAAAAGAACCCTTCAACCAGTAACGACCAGTCACCGTTTTTTTTCTGTAGTCCCAAGGGAATGCTTATCTTTGTAAATAATACTTTATAATAATAATAAAGATCAAAGCCGCTATAGTCTCAGACCAAGAATGCCAAATAGCGGTCTTAAATTGAAGGGAGACCAAGGTTGAGCTGGCTAATTGACCTAACCTAATATCACAGATCCTGCTAAAATTAATAAACTTCAGTCTCGCTATCTTAAACTAAGGCGGTATTGGTTAATAATATTAAAAGTCACTCCTAAGGAATGTTAGAACAATATCCATTTCTTTTTTATCGGCCTCTATTTTTGAGCATGCGGACAGATTTCTAGATCTAGGCCAAGATTTTTTTTGAGGTACTGTATATATTCTCCATGAAAGTCGTACTTTACAGGAGGTTACACTAGGCTACCTACTCCCTCCCTAGCCCTAGCGGGTACAATAGGACAATCAACAAGAAGGTCAAGACTAGAGCAAGAGCTTCTCTCTCCTTTTTTTTATATAAAGTTGGGCAAACCAGCCCAGGTCTGTTTGGCAACCAAGCTCTACTACTATTCTAACCATCAGAACCTACCAATATGTGGAGGCAGTCTAGGCCTATATCTAGTGTCAGTGAGGAAGAAAAGGGAGGCAGGTGCCTAGCTAGTGAAGTGTCAGTGAGGAGGAGGGGATAAGAAAGAAATGGAGGCCTTTCCTCTGTTTAGTACAGGCCTACCTATTTGTTGTAAGGCTATTAACAATATTAGTCTAGCCTACTTGTAGGCCGCAGCAAAGGCCCTCATCTAACTAAGGTATAGGCCTATTCTAGCCTAGGCCTAGACGAACAATAGCGTAGGTCAGCTTAGTTAATCCTAGGCCTAGGCTATCCTCTAGGCTTACTGACTGTAGCTAGGCCTACTCATGCAGTAAGCTACAGCAAGCAGCAGAGAAGTCGTCGTCCATCCAACCCAAGCAGCAAGTGAACAAGCAATGACATTCCCGATTGCATCATCAGCAATCGCTGAATCCCCTCTAGTCTAAAAAAGTAAGAATAATAATCTGCCTGTTATTCTGTAATTCAATTTCTTAATGTGACTTACTTTACATATATTTCGTTACACGTGGTTTACGTTGAAATAGTACATTCGATATCCTCTCAGTACACTTGCCTCGATCACACAACGTGTTCTTCGCCGCAAACAAGTACTACCGTACTACTACTAATCAACTGACGAAATTGATCGCGTAGTGCATGTCATGTCTATGTGGTTTTTACGCAGCAGCTAGGCACGTGTGGAAAGTACTTTTGGGGGTGTGCTGTGCTTCTTCTGCAAACAACGCCCTCATTAGTTCAGAAAAGTTATGTTGAAATCATGTTGAAATTTTAATACTGTAGACTGAACCGACGTATTTAAACATATTATTATAATAATCGATACAAAGAAGAGGTTTTCTGATTTACCTGCTTCATTATAGGCCGTACCTATGCGGCTATTGATACATTCATCACAAAAGTTCTAAAAGTAATGCCATTTCTGCCATGAAAAAGGTCTATGTGAGAGTAGTAACTTTTGCAGCACGAAAAAGACCGTCGAAATATATACATGTCTCTCTCAAACAAAAGATCACTTCAAGGACCGGTATTTCCATAGTCTTTAGCAGCTTAATATCTAATTAGAATAATAAAGATATAAAGAAATTTGTTGATTGGGAACCACAGAAAAGTGGTCTTTAATTGGAGGGGTCTTTAATTAGAGGAAGACCTGTAATAAAGTTCATCTTTTTACCGCGAAAATTTTGTCACCTAAAATCTTACTTAAGAGGAATCCTACCAAATCTTGCTTGGATGACGGCGCCTCAAGAAAGAATCTTACAAAAAAAAAATCTTTGCTTCAAATACTCATAGACTTATGCACTTAACACATTTATACACCAGCTCGAAAAAAAAAAAAACTGATCCAATTGATTTTAACAAAAATATTTTCATATTTTTATTTAAAACTTATAATACTTGCATTTCTTAGACCCTCTTTAGAAATTACCACTCGTACTCAACTCGTCAAACTTTAATTTTCCATCTCAAAGAAAACGTCTACTGGTCCTAAATAGTGACTCTCAAATCAAATTAAGCAGTCTTCAAACCTTGCCTTGATTTGATTCTCTGCTGGAAAAACATCAGCCTTTATTGGTTGAAGTGATTTATATGAATGGGAGTACTCTTGTACTATCACAGTACCAATATAAACGTTCCAGAAATGTTTTCTGGAACTTCGGAATTTGCATATTTAGCAATTGTACATGATAATGTAAAGATGCAAATGAAATAAATTGATTGATAATTTTCGTCATGTAAATGTCACCAATTACTCATCAATAATCGTACTTATAATTTACAGTAAAGGGTTGCCTCCCAGTGTATCCAATTCACCAGGCCATCAGAAGGACCTTTGGACTGGTGGGTTATGCATTTTAAACTGAACAAATCCATTATAAATATTAAAATAAAAATTGGGAGGAGGTGCTTTTAGTTGTCAGAAAAATCATGTGGGATTGGAAGGCAAGTATCTTAATCAAGACATCACTCCATTTGTTAATATCTAAGTAACTATGTTCATTGTAATTTGATTGAACAATTAAACGATTTCCTTCACATTTCAGCAAAACTGTAAGAAATCAAATGCAATAGTACAGCTTCTTCATTTGTTTAAACCTGTAGAAAGCATACCAAAATATACAGAGAGTATTAGGTATGCCTATATATCTTTGCATTCATTCCTAGTAAGGGGTCATCCATATTTTTAAAGAGTACACAATAAAATTATTTTTGTCATTCTGAGATCATAATAGTTAATTTCTCTCCCCCCAACCCACCCCTTTTTACAGCACATGTTTTGTACTCTTGAGAAGATGGTTCCTAAGCATAGCACAATTACACCATGAATGATATACAGTATATGCAATTATGAGCACAAGTATGCATTATACAACTGCAACTTATACACATCGTTAGTCGACAGAATCCACTTAGCAGAGAGATCTAGTTTGATACAAGCTTCATAACACATCAAATTGTATTAATATTTCCTGTGCAATATAATATAATGCAATAATATATCCACGGTCAGGTGTTGCTCAAAATCTCTTGGATGTGCAGGGCGAATCCCCCAGGAACTATGACAATTTAAGTGTTTCAAAGGCTTTATTTAATAATTTTTGAGTCTACTCTAATACCCTGATGAAGTGAGTTTTATCTCCCCTGTACTTAGGACCCCTGCATCGTTATACAAAAATCCATATCAATATTTCTATACATATTCTTATACAAATTCATACAAGTCTTACATGTTACATCTTTAAATTTAATACATTTCATTCTCATTAATTACCTCAATAAGTTTGAGTTAAAGTTTACTTTTTATGAAGTTTTACATCATAATTTGCCAGGAAGCACCACAACTTCATTTATGTGTGTGATACTGTACTATAAAAGTGTGTTTGAATCAATCAATCAATCATTCAATCAATCAATCGATCAAGTTAGCAACTGGTGAAGTGATGCTCTATCTATAAACTAAATCCTTTTTTCCATGAAATTGCTACAATGTTTCACTTTAATCGTTCCATGACATGGCTGTCCTTGACCCCATCAAGAAGGCTCCCGATCTAAAGACCAATCAGTGTCACCGAAATCTATTGGCAATAGCGTGTAGCTATTTTATGGAAATCATGTTTATATATCACTATCAGGGGGTGAGGTTGTTATTGGTTGTGAGAAAAAATCCAGGTTTTTCTCATTACAAGATTGACCTTTTGATTGGGAGGAAATCATCATTACCAACAAAGTACAGCTGCACTCTTTGCAATACATCCTTACCATTAATATTATCTATATTATATCCATCCTTCTTAAAATATAAACTCTATTTCCAATTTCATTATTTAAATCACATTTTTAAAACAGATACATCTATAAAATGTGTCTCATATACATAAATATTAATACAGTAGTAATAACAAAAATAATAATTCCACACTGGTATTTTACAAGTATATATTAACAAAAGTAATAGCATTACTACCAGTACTATTGATAATAAAGTGCTATAATAATTTTTCAAACAAATAATTACTATTTGATTGGTGTATATCCATGATTTTAATAAATATAAATGTGTGTCATATGAACATATAGTGGCCAATAAAGACAACATACATGCAAAATATCTTCTGTTCAATATGTTTAAACCAATATCAAATCCAAGTTACACTGTAATAATTATAATAATTTCTATTTTTCAATCCACAATACTGCCACGTCTACTTACTCTTCCTATCTGTTGTTATTGCACCAACGTATGGGGTTATCACCAACTTCTGATTTCCCATATAAATTTTTATAACGCACGAAATCAATCCTTGCTATTTAATTGGTGGATTTCATATCACATGCCATTGGTTATTAACATTTCATCACTCATTACGAAAATTTAGTTCCATCTCTGCATTTTTCATTCCATTCGTTTTGTCCCATTGCACATCATCACGTAATACAATGTTTTCAAATTTTAGAAAGATGGACTGTTCCATTCTGAGAAAATGGTAAACTTAACTTTTTTTCATAAAATATCAAATACTGTGGCAAAATTGTATGTGACCTCATATTATCTCATGACAATTCAAAACCTGTTCCGCTTGTGATGGCATATCGTAATTTCTCTTTGAGAGTGCTTTTCCTGGAATAGTTTGGTAACTTGAGCAAATTAAAGCATGTGGACGACGTTGGCAGACGACCAACAGGATCACGACGATGAATACCGAGGAATCCGCGAACAACACTGCCTAGTGTGTCTCCAGTGTCCTGTACAGGTGAAAAATATTGAAAATAACTGGGCTTAAATTAAAATGCCATTAAAAAGATATGTTATGTACTGTAGTTGCACTTTTTAGTCTCAAAGCACTTGAGGTGTGGACTATAAAACTCAAACATTAACTTGCTTCATTATAGCATAACTCTCGGTAAATTTGAATACTTTAACAGCTGGTGTTATAATTACATTATTTCACTTTTAATGGTTGTCTTTTTCATCAACCTGTTCAATGGGAAATCTGTATATAAGATCTGCATTTCTTACCTGGTCATCACTAACTTCTACACATCTGATGGAGAATGGTGGCTGTAGGTGAACAAAACCCAACAATGGTGGCTTGGAGCAACTAGTAACAAACTACAGTAAAAAATAACAGAACCTGACGTAATTTCCAAGCAATGAAGGTGTTAATATCAAGGATGTTAAATGGCATAATGTTGCTGCAGAGGTTCTTAAGTTACCTTTAAAAAGAGGGCTCTCTCCTCTCTGTTGAAATCTTTCTCCAAGATGTCCCACAGCCACACAACCACCTTGTGACCACTGTGGAATCCACCATAGTACAGAACATGCTTCCTGCAAATAAATCAACAATAATTACAACAAATAAGGAAATATACCATTGATGAAGATCAGGAGCATGAAAATAGGACCACCTTTTACGGTATACAAAACCTCTTTGTATAGAACACTGCTGAATCATATTTATGGTCTTACAGTTAACAACTCTTACTTGAGGTCTGATAAATCAATGGCAACGTTGTCTCCAGAGATCAATCTTTGGAGTTCTGGAGTGGTGAACCAGGATAGCCACTCTGGATTCACTACAGAGCAAAACCCGTTCTTGAATGCTTTCACTTGGTCGCGTATTTGATAGCGCATCTTGAAATGGGCCATCAAGTGTACATAGCGAATTCTACAAATGAAAAGGTCAAAGTTGAACTGTTCCTTGTTTGTTAAGAGTTTTGTTTGAAACCCAGTAAAACAATCATTTTCTCATGACTAACAGACATACACTGTGAACATATATTATCAGCATTTTGTTTGTCAGATTAGCAATGTTTCATCAGATACTGGGACTGTATGCTTTCTTCATACATACAGTATCTGATCATACAAATCATTCCTTTAATGTCTGCTGGGAGTTCCACTTAATCAAACCAATATTGAAACAATGTTTGATGAGTTTGACAGATTATAGAACATGCTGCTACATGAAAATTAATTATAGTCAGGGTTGTAGCTGTAGAAAACTAAGGAATGATAACATTGGTAAACTCTAAATAATGAGTGGATTTTAAGGATGGCTAAGGGGTTAATAAAGGTGGAGGAAAGCCATGAAATTAGCTTTAGACCGGGTGAGAAACTTCACCCTGCCCACCATTATTAAAACAATTAATTTAGGATTGAAACTTAATTTTGTGTTTTTTTATACTAACCTGTTTTCATTGGTAACACCAATGGCTTTGCCTCCAGGGATCAACTCATGCGTTACGATTTTGCCCATTACATCTTCATCGTACGAGAAGACAAGGTCCAGATCAGCAACGTCTTCGTCATAATGCTATCAAAACATAAACATTAAAGTAAAAATATAGTTAAATTGATGTGGTTCTTTCCATTACTAGAAGTGATGGTACAAATTAATTAGTATAAAATGAAATACATACATCAATATATTAAGTACAGCATAATTTAATATCTTTGAAATTAATTAAAATGAAGAACACAAACATACCTTTAAAAATGACAAATTCTTAAACAGATCTTTGTCCATTGAAGGAAGTTCGTCAAGTGGACTGTAGAGGGCGCTATGTTGGTGGTCTACCATTTGACTCAGAAAAAAGGAAGCAAATGGAACTTCAACGACAATACCCTACAAGGAAAAAATTGTTAGTATCAGGTTATATTGTCGATGCTCAACTTCTATTCTCCATCTATTGAATTTACATCAATTAATTTAATTGATTCATTTGAAAATCGCTAAAGCATAATGCTTTGTATACAGTAAAATATTTTGTTATCTATTAATATTATAATTACCATTTGAATTATTTAAACTAATCTTGTATTATCATTTGTATATTGGTTACTTGAATAAAATTCTATGAAATATATACAAAAAATATATGTTATGTTAGTTCTATAAAACAAATTTGTAATCACCTTAATGCAAGGTTCTGGCTTACCTCATAAATAGCTTTCGCTAGCATCTTCCCAACGAACTCGAACAGTGATAGATGATTTTCATGGATAAATGATGTAGGACTTGGGTACAACCTCTGATCTTCTGTGTGCTATAATAAATGGAAAAAATTGTTAATAATGGAACATTACACATAGTTATTCCCAAACACTGAACACTTACCATTATGCTGAATTCACTTTCAATTTTCAATAACAAAATTTACTGTTTTTCTTTTGTTGACAAAAACCTTATAATAATAATAATTATATAAATATAAATTCAGCAGAGCCGAGCAAAGCAGAGCAAATCTCAAAACGCAATGCATTTAAAGGGCAACTCGAAGCTGAAAAGAGCATAAAAGCACATGACAGGACAACAGAAGATAATAAAAAGACAGCAAAGTAAATTAATTAAATAATTTTTCGAACTTTATAATTTAAGGCGGATATTGGGAAATAAATTATCAATTTATTGCATAAATAGAATGTGTGTATCATACTTAGTAAAAAATATTTTGTATAATTCAAGAAATTTACTTTTGAACGCTTTTTTATCATCGTTGTCCAAAAACCATTATTAATGGCCGTAACATTGGAACGCAGCGTAACATTACAAATACTGCATTTCTATTGGCTGTTACTTACCCTGAACAGATTCAATTCCGGGTTGAAAACCTTCTTGATAATTTCCTCGAGGAATTCCTTGAAGACACCATCTTGATCGATGCCAGCCTCCTCAAGACCTTGCCGATTGACAAACTTCACCCTAATGGTCCCCTTTAGTAACTTACCATCCATGTGACCTATTTGTTGGTACCCATCCTAAAGCAAAGAAACAGTATGTGAATACCATTAACATTGTATTCAAGACTAAATAAAATACATATATAAATGTACTGTCATTAAAATCTGCTATTTAACGTGTTCAAACCTTGTCAATGTATATAAATTCTATGTTATTCCAAATGTCTTGGATGTTATATTCATTAATTGAGGGCACTATACATAATCTATTATCAACACAGTTAGGATGTATAAATATTTCAATCTCAACACTTTCATGTCTTTCTGCCAATTAAAACACCCATAACGTAAAAGATATCTTTGTTGATTGTAACATAAAACAAGATAATGTGCAACAAAGGGTTGTGACTGATTGGTTTTGTTAATAAGCAAAAACCTGTGGTGGAATACACATAGCGTTGGATTTGGATCTTTTTCGGTGTAAACACCAAGGATAGCCCAAAAAAGTCTAGAAGACTTATTTCCAGTGGGGTCCTTCTGGCAGTGATTGGGCAGTACACTAGGAGACAATCCTCTACTCTTTTCCGAAGAGTGTACTGCGTTCTTTAACGTGCACATGGGCCATAAATGCACAGGGACCAACGGCTTAAACGTCTCATCCAAAAGAAGGTGCGCTATTGTAACTTGTATTTCAGCCCTCCAGCTGAAACACAAGGAGAGGCAGCGATGGGAATTGAACTGGGGACCTAGAGATCTCCACGGTTCTGCGTACACAGAGTGGCTACCACCAGATTAGCCTACTGAGCTAAGCTGCTCTCTCGAGCGTTAACGTTCTTCGACGCAGGCTTACCTCTACCAGTTGGCTACGTTTAATTGTGATCAATGTTGAGTGTGGCATAATGCCGGCAGTTTCAACAAAACCTAATTCTTTCTTCTCATCACCAACCTTCTTCCGGAATAATATAACACGCTAAAAAATAGGAACATCCAGAAACTGTCATTTTTTAAACAGAAATTTAATTAATCTATATATTTCATCATATTTAGCATAAATTAATGTATTTTTTGTTTATGTTTTTATGTGGATAATTTTATTGACAAAATATTATAATCTTAGCAGTTTCTATTACGTTCAAAGTTGCATCAGCCACAGTTAGTACGAAGTTCTACTAAAGATGAATTGCATTGGTCATACTTCCATCTCCTACCTATGGGTGTGACACATTTTCAAACAGACATGACTCTCTTTTATATACTCTTTGTTTCACTCACCTCTATGTGCGGAATAACATGAGGAATAATCTGTAGGACTCGTTTCGCTCGCTTACTTCCTCTTTCCAGTTCGTTTCTAAATAAACTCATTTTCAGATCTCTGTAACAAATTTCGTTGACAATAAACATTTGAATAAGTTTGAAATATATATTTGAAACAATCATAGGCTACGTTCAGACTTGGAGATAAGCTGGGCTTGAGTTAAGCCTGGCTCAATGTTAAGCCCGGCTTAACTTTGAAGGGCATTCAGACTAGCGGGATTAGTCAGGCATGAGAATTTGCATATTAATGAACCGTAACCAGGAAACGTGTTTCAAAAAATTGCGCACGAAACATACACTTGCTCACAGCGCACGTAATTGAATGCTGATAGGTCATTTTTACCCGAAGTCAATGAAAGACCCCCCGCAGCGATTAAAACCTGGCTTAGAAAAGTTAAACACAGTTTCACACCAGGCCTAGCTACTACAGTTGAATCCAAAATGCCATTGAAATATTGTTACTTACAGATTGTTAATAAATGGAAAATACAACAATTTGGCATGTAAAGTAAGATCGACTTAGAAATTATTCGACTTAAACACAGTCGGCAAGTTTAACTGTGTAAGAACACACCCCGGCATGAGATAAGCCACCTAGTTCAGACTGGCAGGGGGATAAACCCGATGTGAGTTGAGCCGGGTTTATCCACCCAGTCTGAACTAGGCCATATATTATAAGACGGCTTGAGATGTCAGCAGACGTATTCCCAAATGAATTGCTGAAATATTATTTGAGCTACAGTATTGTTTATCTCTCCCTATCTCAGTATTCTAAGGCCAATAGCAGGCCCAATGTAAGTACTCACTTGATAAGCCAATGGTTGTCAGGTGTAAATGAGCGCCTAGCATCTCGTTGATGTAAGAGCATCAACAGAGGGTGTGTAGACACAAAGAGAGAATGCTGTCTGCTATTTGAATCTAGAAATGAAAAAAAAAAAACCAGAACTTAATAAAGTAATAAAAATAATAATAATAATAATAATAATAATGTCATCTTATTAGGCGCACGTATCCATCTCTTGGTAGAGCTGCTCGCGGCGTTGATAAGTAAGAGATATATCGTTAAAAATATCATTGAGATGCAGTTTTCAACAGACTATATTGATGTCTAAATGAATATTGGATTACAGAATTAATTCCTAAAGTATTTATATCACTATCAGCTTACTCCAGAATTTATTAGAAAATTAGAGTGTCTCCAACCTTATATATCTAGTATACCATGTATTAGGGACGAGAACTTAATCTTGCTTTGCATTTCTTCCCTTTATAATTTATCTTGCACATTAGCAGATCTTTTGCAGTTGATTCTATACTGTGCAATGACATTGAGGTGTAAGCCCAACAGTTATTAGCTAACTGATTTTGAGGAAGTTCTACTATTCTATACACATAACCTATCTAGCCTAAGGAGTGATGTTTTTGCCCTACCATGACGTGTTATCGTACCGAATACTCCGTACATTCCCAAATAACCATATGACTACCGCACTTGTGCTTAATGACTGGTGTTGAAAAAGATCCCCAAATGGATCTAGACTTCTATCTGGATCTATCTAGCCCAAGCCTGCCGACTCATTCTTGAATGCATTTTAGGGTCTTCAGTTATAATCCTAAGCTAGCCCCCACCCCTTTCCCATTCAAAAAACAATATGCCTCACATAAGTTGGATCCCCTTACCTATATTATGATCCCAGATCATTTTATAGATGAACATGTTGAGGAATGAGGACATGTTAACCAGGTCATCCAACTTGAAAGGCTTTTGATGTTCATATACTTCAACATCATCAAGAATTCTAATAGAAAAAAACAAAATTTATTTCATTATATAAAAATAAAAGTTTACTGTTGTCATGGAAATGAAATCTGCAAACAGCAGCAAACAAATGTTAACTGGAGGTGCTTTAAAAAAGAAAGTATAATACATACTCCAAGTATTGAAATACACGCCATCGTGTTGGGATTCAATATTTTGACATTAATTATGTCATCATTGGACATTAATTATGTCATCATCATCCTGATGATGACATAATTAATGTCGAAATATTGAATCCCAACACGATGGCGTGTATTTCAATACTTGGGGCTTTAAAAAAGAGTATTTTAAAACTAGATGTACTAATAAATAAAGTTATTTTCAAAGACTGTAATGATATGGTATAAAATATTTCTAATGATGGTATATTACTAACTTACGTAATGAGATAAGTTGAGCAATCACAGAAGAACATAAGCAGAGACAGAATCGGCTGCGATTCTACACTTGAGTCTAGACTTTCCAGAAACAACTTAATACCGCTGTTGGGGCCAAGCTCTGTGATGAAGTGCCAAAGACTAGGTAAAAGGTCATCCTTATAGGTCAATCCTAAGAGAACAAATAAAAGTTACATGTAATGAGATTGATAGATCATTTACAGTGTTACTTAAAGGTGTAATATGATATTCAATATTATTTCAAATGCTATTGAATCAAGATCATTACTATAATAATATTTGAAATTAGGAGACTTATAACAAATTATACAGAAGAGAGACAGAAGGAAGAGGTGATAGTGATTTAGGAAAAACTTTCAATGCGTACTAGAAAGTTTGACAGTCAACAAGATATTTTGAATAATATTATATAAAAATAATAAACAATAATGATGATGATGATGATAATAATAACAATGATTATGAGGCAATGATCTTATTAAGTCTTAAAGTGCATATATCAGTGCTAAAGGCACTCAAAAAGTTAGGTAAATGCAAAGCATTAAATCTTAGGTAAATGATGTTAACTGTATCCATGTTTTTACACCATCTCATACTATACCTGATAATATATTAGCTTTAATTTCAGTAAGCGTGGACATGGCCGTCTGGAACATATCACAAACACCACACACGGTCACCACCTCAGGCGTGTTTAAACTTTTTGTCGGACGAGATGTCAACTTTAAAGAGGTACGTTGAAGCTTCCGTAATAGTCCTGGGAAAATGAAAAACACCAAACAATTATTTAACAAATAGTGATTCTTAAACTTATATCCAATAAAATAAACTTAAGCCCTGTCCAGACTATCAAATATATGACAAAAACATGTGACACGCCTAAATATGGTCATGATGACACCACACCATGACCATATATAGGCACATCATGACTATATATGGGCATACAACAGTTTTTTCTCAAAGAAAAGGGCGAACTGTATTATAAAATGCATAATTACATGCCAAAAGATTTTTAAGCTAAAGGAACTTTCTTGAAAGTTCTCACCTTTTGGTTGTTCTTTCTGTGTTGCTTTTTCTTGTTCAGCGGCAGCAGAGGCTGCAGCTGCTTTTAATGCATCGTCGAACAAGGCTTCAACTATGACCCGACTCCACAACTTGCTGAGTTGCTTCAGTACAAACTCCATGGATTCATGCAAACTGTAAAACATCATAAGAATCCACTACTATCTAATAACAGTTTGGTCAAGGATATACTATAAACCCATAAAAAATAGATAGGAGTGCATCTCCTTGTTATAGATTTTTATCATTTTCAGCTGGTGCTGATATTCTCATATTCTTTCTTAATGACAAAATTGAGAATCAAAGCTTATTAATTTTTATTTGTTTAAATAAGTTATGTTACTTTCTTTACATTATAATTCATTATGCAACCTTTGCGAGATTGTTATTGTGTATATGCTTTACTTTTGGGCTCACAACTCAATAGACTCTTTTCATCCCTTTGGTCTATCTTTGGAAATTGTATTTTGTTTTAAAATAAACAAATATATGTGCTGTGACTCTGGTTGTAAATAATTAATTTGTCAAAGCGCAAAAAAAATCCACCAAAATTCTTTTAGAAAAGTATCAATCCAATATCAATGAGGTTTGCAAACTGGCAAACAGGGGTCAGGTCAACAAAATTCTGATGTGATGCAGGTATCTGTTTTTTCGGAGTACAATATATCCAGATTGAGAAATATTTATTGATGTTAAATACGATGAACACAAACCATAATAAAGATGTGTATAAGATATGCTGTTTACATGCTGCCCCATGACAATCAATCTATGCTTGAGGGCGCCCTTAACAATGTTACGGTGTCTAAAAAATGAAATAAAATAAACTATCAACCAAAGAGTACCATACACTTTTACTTACCTATGATCTATTGATTGTGAGAACCAGCCAAGCACTGGATGCCATTGTGATGTATTTGATTTCTTTTTGCCAACATAATTTTGACAATGCATCAATAAGCAATGAACAACCCTCTGTAAATATACAAATTTTAAAAGTGAACACAGAACTGTGTATTGAAAAAAAAAATAATGTAATGGTGCTCATTAGATGATGGTGCTCATGATTATGATGATGAAGGTAATGACTATGACAATGATGATGACAATGAATGGTAGTGATAAATACAATAATACAGTTGATGGCAATTATAAGGGATGACGGTTCATGCTGGCTTGTTTTTTGTTTTTTTTTAAATTCTATATGTGATGTTTCTAATTTTATTCTGAATATCAGCCTCGAGTAAAGGGTCCCCCTCTACAGAGAATTGTTGAAATTAATAAAATAAAAATGGTAATGATGTAATTAATGATTGATTGATGTTTTTGTATGTTAATTTTGATATCTGTGAGGTCTCACCACGAAATGAGATGCATCGTTAGTGAAATCATTTTGAGATAATCACCAAAATAGGTCAAAATCAAAATTTTACACAATTTTGATTTTAATGTTTTTGAATAAGTTGATATTTATATTTAATGATTGTATACTTTTTAAGTGAAATTTCTAACTAAAACAGTGTTCTTTGTGCATATTCTGTAATTCTAGTCCTATTATTTGTACAGGTTAGTTTATCTTGAGGCCAATTTTTTCAAAATGTGGTTCTCTTATACATAATATTTAAATGCTCACATCTCTGGATCTACATATCCTAGTAAAGCCATTCAAAGACCAAATTAAAGCTTATCATGTAATCTACCCAAATATAATATAAACTCAATTTTTGATATTCTAACCATGAGACTCATTTTGTGGTGAGGCCTCACATCTATTTAACTAACTTTATCTTGTATTTTTATGTATTTTTATAATTATTTTAACTCTTAAATGTAACAAGGAAACTAAATCTTATGACATTAAGTTTCCATTTATTGTCATACCGCAAAACCTCGAATTGAAGCCCTGGGCTTCTTTTTTCATTGCGAACTTTCGATGGGCTTGTTATCAAGATGGGTTTCTTATCGAGGTGGGCTTCTTTACGAGACTACTTGTGTAAAATAAAGAGGGGGAGCTTTTTTTCAAAATGAATCCTGTAAATTTTGTGAATTTGTACTATAAAATAATAAATAAGGCCACTGTAACATCAATCTGTATCATGGAGTGTATTAATTGGCATTAAATCACCTAAACTACTGCATAAACAAGCTTGTATTTAATTAATTTTTTAAAATGAAATTCATGTACAGTGTATGTACTGTCCTATCTCGAAAAGATGCCTATGCTATCTTGAAAAGAAGCCCATGGGCTATTTTGCAAATTAAAGAGGGGGGGCCTCAATTTGAGATGGGCTGCATCTCGAGATAAAGCCCACTGGGCTTCAATGCAAGGTTTTACGGTATACAAATACAAGTACAGTACATGAGATTTATACATTGTTATCACTATAAAGAATATCTGAATCTGAAGAAACTGACACGTTTGAAGCATTAAGATGTTGTGAATGATGCAATCAATCATATATTATTACATTACATGCTTATAAATATTAATAAATTCATTAACCATCAATTAATTATATAACTTACAGTAAATGAGGCTACATTTCTGATCAGCTTATCTTGCTCAATGTATCCTAAATGGATGATGTTCGACAGAAGACAAAGTGCATAATTTCCTTCCAATGAGTTGAAGATGATGCGTGTGTTCTGGTCTAGGCTTAGATAATCCAATGAGTGCTTAAACAGGTTTTCTGATTGGAGGACTGTAATGCTCTGGAGACAAAGAAAGGAAAGTAAGTAAGATGGGTAGCGGAAAAGACAATTTCAAATTCAATCAATTAAATAAATACTTATTTCTTCCAAATCAAACAATGAAACAGTAAAATCAAAATGTTGAAAAATAATCATAAATAGGCACGAAACATTGAAATAAACAGGCTGGATTAAATGTAAGAGGGCAGTGCTCTAAAAGAAATGTGAAGGAAAAAAACAAGAATTCTAACATGACACTTGTAGCGAGCATGCCATGAATAATATCAATATGAAATAATAAATTCCAGAAAAAGACACAAACAAACACATACAACAAAATAAAAAAAAAACAGTGTAAAAGAACATCATATTAGGAAATAATGATGATAATAAAAAGCAACTAATAGTATTTTGATAAGAAAAGTGTTTTAGCTTTACAAGACAAATTTTTCCTGAGGATGAACAGTGTAGAAGGCATTAAATATGCATACCTCTTTACTTGTGGTTTGTAGGTGAAGAACCAGGCCAGGTACTGACATTATATATAGTAGAAACAAAGACATCAGATTATCTGAACACTTACTGATAATCACTGGTCTGTAAAATAAAGTTAAAATGTTGCTGGCAAAAAAGTTTTGACAGTTAATACTGCCACTGTTATTACTACTATACAATTACAGTGGAACCCCTATTAATGAGATACCTTCAGGACCAAAAAACGTGTCTGATAAATAGGGGTTGGCCATAGTGTTAAAAAATATACTTTCTCTCGCATTGTGGCCAAAAAAGTGTCACGTTAATAAGGCTGTCCCCTAAATAGGTGTCCCAAATAAAGAGTTCTACTGTATAAATTCTACTATAATTTATATGCTGAAGCCCCATATTTGATATATATTTTCCCCCTTTGTGCTTTTAGGTGTATTCTGACCGAAACCAAGATTGGGGATGGGAGGTTTGGAGAGGCATCATAAACACTCTTAGGCAGGCTACTACAGTATAACTAATGGAGTGGATTTGAATAGCTTAGTGGTCAAGATACTTGCCTTCTAATCCCAGGGTCATGGGTTCTGTTCCTGCAGCAGGACTTTTCCTCACAACAACAAAAAATTCCATTCTATAAGCCTCCTAAAGACTCTTGGTTTATAAAGCCAGTCTCACACGTTGTGATTTTCCTTATGATAAGCTGCGCTACGACACTTTTTCGACTACAATTTTTTGAACACGTATAAAATTCTACGATATCATACGCTTTCCTAATGAGCATGTTTTAGTGCACCTTGTCGTAAGTGAAAATCGGAACGTGTGAGACCAGTTGTAATTAGAATACAGCTACCATTAGTACCTGATAGCAAGAGTGAATATGGCTGAAAGAGCTGCATGTGAAAAAGAGGGCTTCTTCCTGGCAAGGCCTTTCAACAGCAAACACTGCAGCATAGCATATAGACCTTTGCTGTTCAGATGTCCAATGATGTTAGCACACAGCTGATTCATACTGGACCTCAGAGCTTCTCCTGAAAAAGAAATGCAAGTTGTCAAGACTTTTTAAACATTATCTTATATTTCATTGAGCCGAATGTTGTTAAATTTCATAATCCCTATTCTTTATGAATGTTTTATCATTACATATCTTATAACTTATTCAATTCAATAATTTCTATTTCCAAGTTAATCGAGAGTATATATATTACCATGTGTGTAATGAATTACTTTGAGAAACAGGGTTTTAATAAACATTGATAAACAATGTCTACTATAGGGGACAGGTTTGAAGGAGGATCTTCAGAGAGATGTCACTTGGTGAGATTTCACAACACCAATTGTATTTTGCTGCGTGTGGTGTTAGCCATGACCAAGGTCCTTGACGAAAGGTTAAAATTCCGCGATAGAAGGTAAAATTCAACTCAGCTCACCAAAAAAAAAAAAATATTTTTAAAAAAATGCACGGAATTAGCAGTCTCAGACTGTATGTTTTTTACATGACAAAAAAATTGGCTTCTTCCACGGAAACAGCCACTGATCTTTTTTAAAGCCAACAAGTCCAATATTCAAGTACTATACAGTACATTTCAACAATATAGTTGTTATGTACTGTACTGTTATCAATGATATACTTGTTATTGTTAAAAACAACAACAATAATGTTTTCAACAATATAGTTATTATTGTTCAAAACAATAATTTTTTTTTATTTCAACTAGTTTTATTTTAAAAATGCATAAAAGGTAAATACAATTAAAACCATCAAAACACTACAAAAAAAAACCAAAAAACCATGTTATGTCAATAAAAGAAAACTTCCTAGGGCATTTGCTATATTTGTAATACATTACAAAGAGCAAACCAAGGTACATCCAAAAAGAAAATATAATTTACTGTATACTGTTTTCAACAATATAGTTGTTATTGCTGAATACAACAACTATCCACATCAGGTAGGGCAAAATTACACCTACACCTGACGCAAATCCAGTTATTGTCTATTCCATCACGACAATAACAATTACTATCAACACTGCAGTACCCGCTGCTTACTTGGACTCAAATTCAACCCTGACCATCAGGCCCAAGCTCGGTGGTCTAGAGGTATGAAGCCAGGCTAGTTTTCTGGAGATCGCATGGGTTCGAGTCCCACCCGAGAACAACTTGCAATTTTTTTCGCAATTGTTTTCAAATGTACTGAGTATTCAGTCCATTTCTATATCAGGTAGGGCAAAATTACACCTATAAACAACTAACCGGTTTTCAACTATATTGTTGAAAATGAGGAAAATAACAGCATAGCATGATGTATAGATATATAAAGGTTAGTTTAATGCAATAAAATAGATTTCCAAACTTTTAAAATTCCAGCATGTTTTGGCCATTATCTCCAAAACAGGATTTGCGACGAGTGACTGGTTTGGCTTGTCTTTGCCACAAATTAAATTGTCACAAATTACAAATTTTAATAATAAAATAAATAATTACAATAATCAAGCTACCTTGAGTGTCTTCAAATATAAGCAGCACTGCCACAGTATATTCTTCACTTGCTGGATCCATGACAACACATGTTGCTTGAATAATGCCAGAGACACATACCAGTACTGCAGATGAAAAGACATTATTTTATATATTGTATGAGAAAATCAGTAAAAATTATTTATTAATAAGAAAGGAAGCCAATAGTTTGGTTATTCTGCAATATGCAAGAATATGCCATTTAAAGGCTCATGTTTACGTACATTTTTGCATTTTGAGGGACCTTAACTACAATATCCAAAAGGTAGGGTTAGTGGAATGGTTCAATAATACTAACCTTTGCACTTGTGTTGAGGTCATTGCCCATGCTCTCACCAAACATCATACTGGCATTGATGTAGCTACACATTGCCTCAAATCTCTGTTAATATTAACATTGAAAATAAGTAAGATCTCTGTTAATATTAACATTGAAAATAAGTATAAGTACCAAGGATCTCAATAATTAATGCATTTTGTTTACTGCTAGTAATAACATCGGCAATTAAACCTACTACAGTAGCTACCCACTTATATTCCTTGGTGGTCAGAGAGAATTTGTGGCTAAAGTGCTTGCTCAAGGTAAAAACAATTGGCTAGTCTCTGATTTTAACCACTGACCTCCCGAAAGCTTTCTGCTGTGCCACATGGTTCTAATAAATAGGAGTCTATTTGTGGCATCAATTACATAATGTTACCATTTTATTATATAAATTTACATTGTATTTTCCATTTAAATAATAATAAATATATTTCATTAGTTTTATGTTAGATGGTACATTATTATAATTCCTGGAGGTGTACGCCAATTCGGTAAAATGGTATTGGCTGCTTTGTGTCACCTTTCTGTGTTGTTCTGCTTTGTAACATTTTGTACCTTTGTTTGACTATAATAATTGTTATATTCTACACAACTAAACAAAAAGTAATTATGTGAGAATAACAAATACGGTACCTGTTTATCTTCTTGTGGTTTAAAAACATATAAGAATTTTTTGATGGCTGTAAAAGTTTCCACAGCTAATAAACAAGAGAAAAATATATCCTGTCAATGAGTTAAATTTACATTAGACAATTGATTGACATTGTGATTGACTAACAGATTAACAGGTCAATCAACCTATTGATTGACATTCAGACTGATTTTCATTTTGTCAAGATACTGTATTAAAAAAATAATTGATAGTTAATATAATTTAATGTATGAAAATGAAAATGTATGGAACCAGGGGCAGATTTAGGGGGTGGGCAAGGCCAGCCCCCTCCCCCCCCCCACTTTTGCAAAGTAAAAAAAAAAGAAAAGTAAAAAAAAGAAGAAATAAAAAGAAAAAAAATAATCGCCCAAAATGCCCCAGAGGTTATTATCAGGCATCTAGAAAACAAAAATTTTGAGGGGGCATGCCCC